TAGATAGATAGATAGATAGATAGATAGATAGATAGATAGATAGATAGATAGATAGATAGATAGATAGATAGATAGATAGATAGATAGATAGATGCATGCTGAAAGTTAAAATGACTAAGATATACCATAAAACATGGTAGAAACGAACAAACCAAATGACAATAAGTTATCTTAAAAACAAATCTCGTCTTATGTAACTTGATAAAAACATTCATTTTAAGCGTCTGTCTAAAGCTATTTTCTAATTTAGCCACTAGGTGGTGCTCTGCACTTGTAAAAAAAAACCGAGCAGAAAACCCCGCACAAAGGTTGGAGTAGCTATTWCATTGTATCATCTTGAAAACTAGTTATGTTGTAGCTAACCTGTAGCATATTGAATCAGCAGCTCGTTTTCAGCCTGTACAGTTAAATGAATTGTGTTGCGCTTTAACATTAGTTTCTTTAAACCGTTGCTTGTAGCGTTCTGCCAGCTGTTCGGGGTTGTGCAATGTGTGCGGCGCTGGCTGGCTGAATCCATCCGAGAAACAAACCGCCCCCCTCCCACTCTCAACGCCCCCGTTTCGGATGGAACTCAAAATACAGAAAGCCTCCATGTTGCACAGGGAATGCTGGGCCAGCAGCTGTGAAGCGTCTCGGAAAAGTGCATGCCTCCGTGGATGTTGAGCCACTTGCGTGTACTTAATGCACGGTTTGGACGTGAACGATCCTCCGACAGGCTTCCGAGTGTTTACGGCTTCGTCCCAGACACGGCGGCCTCATTTCTGCTGGATAACCGGAGCTTCGAAGCTAACTGGCTAACCCAATCTTGCTTCATAACTTCACTTAGTTAGCATTACCGCTGTTTTGTTGTTTTAAGTGTTACCTAAGTTGCGCACAAACACTTGTTTGCAGCGATGATACACGGAAAGCCATAGATGACAGCCCTTCGCTGGCCTCCATTCACCACCGTGCTAGCTGGCGGGCTACCACCGCTGCCACAACCCTTCGCCTCGGACAGTTTCCTGGCTTTGTGGCCAAGCTGCTTCCCTTCATCTTAGACAGCTAGCAAACGAGGCGAGCGCGTTCCTACACGTAAAACGGGAATAACCAGCAGTCCCAATGGACCACATGTCCATAATAACCCAAGTTTCAAACCCTAAGGAGGAGGAGATAATTTCGTTTAACCAGGAAAAAGGTAAGGAAAAGTCCACTATCGTCAGAGAACTAATGCTAGCTGGCTAGTCACTTTACTGTTAGCTGTTATTCGCGCTTGCTAGCTGAAGGCACCTGGTTTCAAACAGCTGTATAAAAAATGATTTGGTACGCAACAAGTTTAATATAAGGACTGTTTTGTGTCGCATAACTCAGAAAATTACTTAAAGGTTTGTTTGCTGCACATGAAGAGCACTTCTAATATGATTTTTTACAACAAAGTTGGTCAAACATAAACAGATAGCGGTCCACTAAAAAAGTGGATTCAAAGCCTTTTGCTTGCGTAGGACAAAACAGCTGCGTTTGTATTGCATAACTAAACCATTTTATCTGACAAATGATTCACGATATAAATGTCAAAAACAGAAATGTAATGTTTTCTTCGGGGGGGTTTATGTTTCTAAAACTGCTGTAAGTGGTGTTTTAGACAAAGTTTCATGTCAGCTAACATCTTTTTACTTGACACAGCTTTGATCAGAAGATCATGTCCAGTCTGATGTCTTATCTGTGTGCCTGTGTTTTCAAAACTGCCTTATCCTTTGTTTTTATGTAATTTTAATGAAATCCCACGAACTCTGCTTTACTTTTTTTTTATCCAGTTTTTGCTCTTTATTTTTTCGATACGGGAATCTCACTGGCCTTATGGGTTCTAAAACACTTATATGATCATCCTGCTACACACCTTCTTGGATCATTAATGTTGTGAACTAAAGTGTTTTGGATCCTACATCGCATTTAGGGACACAGTTATCAGCTGAATTATATCCCTCATTAAGTCTCAGGAAGTCGTGGATGATCACTGCAGAATGTAAGATTTTGTTGAGGTTGAAAAATGCAGGTGTAGAAAATATCACTATCTGTCAGTACATTATGCTCATTCCACTACAGTGATAAAGCATCTAAAAATAGCTTGTGGTTATTGCTCAGCAAAAAAAATATCAGTTAAGGTACATGACGCATGTCTGAAGTTATTGTTGTTTAAACTGTTTTTGATGAACAAACATGTTTTTTGTTCATCAAAAACATTTGGTGTTTTTAAAAGCTGAGCTGTTGTAGAAAATATAAATATTTCCTCTGAAACGACTTGTCCTTTTTAGTAGAATGATTAATGTGAAATTGCTGTTTGTTTTTTTCTCCAGTAGAATTGGCATATAGTTTCCAAAGTTATAGATTCATAAAAACTTTGTTTTGCTTTCTGGTTATTTTATATTT